TCTTAAAAATGCTGCTATAACAGATAGATGCTTAGGATGTATCTTCTTAACTACACCGATATAATATGGCTAGTATTACCATCTCCCCTCTGTCTTTATTACTCATGTGGTACTACATAGGTATGCTTATGTAAACGTTTTAAACAAAAAAAGTGAAAGTGTTATATTGAATGCCACTACATATTTGTGACAAAAATCTGCGTAGTAAGGTAGAATATGTGCAATTTATTCTCATCAAGAAGGGTAATTGCTGTTTCCATCTTCTACTATTATTTGGTTCAAGCCTAAAACATATGTGGTTCTTTTTCAGGGTAATTCAATTTGAGAATGTTCATTAAAATGTCCGAAGTAGTAATTACTCTATTGAAACAATTTAATGGTTCTTTCTCTTAGTCCAGGGTTCAGTAACACCAGGAGATAGCAGGGTGCATACTCAAACTGATAAATTCATTTTACAAGCACTTAAACCAGGCATTATGGAATTGTAAAAGCAAGATAATATCTGCATTCATAACTTCAAAGCAATCTTTATGCATTTCTGAAAGTTTTTTTTCCTGTGACACTGGGGCTGTATAAAGTAGATTTGGTTGAAGCTGCAAAATATACTATGATAGGAGAGACCAGAAAATTAAAATAAAGCTGCAGCAGTTTAGAATAAAGCTGAAGGAAATAAACTTCAATAGTCAGTGTACAGGAAAACAGAATTTGTGAAGGGATAATAAATCTCAGATTACTTAAAGTAGTTGGATCTTATATTTTGGACAATGTGGGTTGTCAAATTGGTTTAAGCTGATAAGTGGCAAATATGGTTGTGAGCTTATTTCTATATTGAGGATAATGTGTTTTGCACCCTTTTATGTCTTCACAGAATTGTGCGTGTGTTGTCAAGTTACTTAAGAGTTACAATGAGCTCCAAAATGTTCTATAGTTAACACCTATGTTCCAATATTGTAAAGTGCTGAGATCCTGTGAATTGAAAGTCTTTTTTTAAAAAACTACTTGAGTCAATCCATTTAATGTTAGGGTTTTTTTTCCTGCCTCCCTCAACTTTTCCTAGCATTGTTTTTTTTCCCCAATAAATCTTCTCATATCTTGTTATACGTCCAAAATACAGAAGACACTTTAGTCCTTTCTGCTTCTATCGAGAATGCAGTTGTGATTTGATCTAGAACTTAGTAATTTGATATGTTAGTTGTCTGTGATATCCATAAAACTCTCCTCCACCACATTTCAAATGAATCCACTTTTTTCTGTTCATTTCTTCATAATCAAATACAGTGGTGCCTCGCTTGATGAGGATAATTCGTTCCATTGAAATCACTGTACAGCGAAATCCTCGTCAAGCGAAACGAAAAAGCCCATTGAAATGCATTGAAACCAGTTCAATGTGTTCCAGTGGGCTAAATACCTCAGCATCCAGCAAAGATCCTCCATAAGGGTGGCCATTTTTTGTGCCTGTAAAGCAAGGAATATGTCCTGAAAACACAGCGGGGAGCCATTTTGCACAGTGGGCAGCCATTTTATAGCCGTTGATCAGCTGTTTCTAAATCGGCATTTAGCGAAAAATCGGTTCCTGAAGCAGGGAACTGATCACCGTTAAGTGAAATTTCCCTATCTAAACATCATTTTGCGATCACAAAAGCGATCGCAAAAACTTCATCATCAAGCGGTTTCGTCATTTAACAAGATAATCATTAAGCGAGGCACCACTGTAATGACATCTATATATAGTGATTAGGTAAACTGTAGTCTGAACAGTCTTAACCTTGGTCTACAACAGTATGTCCTTACCATTCAGGATCTTTTCTAGTTCCTCCACAGCTACTATTCCCAGTATCAATCACCTTTTGATTCCTTGGTTGTGATCTCCATTTGGTTAATGCTTGAAGCAAAGTATAGACAATCTTTGATAATTTCTTTATTAAGATAAAAAGTTATGTAATTTTGCAGTCGTTATTTTTGTCTTCTTAATTTTCAGATGGTTTTGCACATTCTTCTTTTATCTTCATCAGTAGTCATTTCAGAGCATTGCTATTTTCTGCCCATTATGTGATATCATCTGCATAAATTATTGTTTCTTCCTCCAGTTTTCATCCGTCTTACAATTATAAATTATAAATTACCAAACAATTTTTTGTAAGATATGCTGTCATAAAATAATGTTCTAAAATTTAGTAGTCTATGTTAAACATTACTGAATAGATTAAGAACCTTGTGGTTTAGGATCCAGGACAGTGAGATGATGATGATGACTGTCAACTTGGATACTGCTCCATAGTGTTAGAGCACTCTCTGGGTGGTTTACAACATTATTATGCAAGGAACAAATTGAGGGCATATTAAGAGTTTTGCTTGCCTGGTTATTTTCTTTATTAACTGTTTTGATATTTATAAAATTCATTTTTCTTTTCTATCCATTTTCTGAAATTTAATGATTGATTTGCCTCTTTACTGAGCAGTAATCCAATAATCAAAATAATACTTTACCTTTATAGGAAGTGTTTGAAATAGTAAGTGATTTTTATACCACATTGTAAGTTTAAAACAGGAGTCTGTGCTTAGTGGTTATGCAGTGCCTGCAATTTACCACTTTCATTCTACAATATCCAATCTAGAATGTTCTGTTTCACTGCCCATCAAGAACCACATCTTGCAATGCTGTAGCCAGTCCTACTTTCTTTGTTGAAAGCAACTGCCGTCTATTACTATAGGTGTGAATGCTGTTGTTACTTGGACGCCATACCATTTGCTAGGAAATGGAACTATAGGGAAAATAACAAATCTCTGACTCTGTTTGACTGTAAAGGCAACATTGAATGCTTGAAGGGATTTGGGGGGGGGGTAGAAAAGACATAACGAATACAAGAAAGCTTCAAAAACAAGAATGCCTTTGGGATTCTGAGATATGAAAAGAAGTAGAGGTTTCAGAGATCTATTAAGAATCTCAAGCAAGAGCTGCCTGAGAATTAAGGAGAAAAGTAGGGAACCCCGGTAGACCCACTGTGTCAAACATTAATACAGTCACTGTTGGGGTATGTGGATATGTGGACTCCATCCTCAAAATATATGTCACCAATAAGAGACAACACAGATTTTCTAAGGAAACCTCAATCCACTCATGACCTCCATAATAACACCATTTCAGCCACAATAGACATAGAAGCTGTCTATGTGAACATCCCACTCAGAGATGGACTACAGGTTGTCAGGAACATTATTCAAAATAAGGGCAAAACACACATAGACACCAGCGTTTGTGACTTTGTACTCACATACAGCTATTTCACCTTTGATAATAAAACCTACCTCCAGATTAACAGAGCCGCCATGGGTGCTTCCATGGCTCCACAATATGTGTATATGTTTATGGCCAACCTAAAACAACACACTCAAGAAGGAAGTCATTGGAAAAAATGTTTTAAGAAAGAAAGAGTAAGCCATAGAGGAGAGTTTCTATTCTGGATTGTGATTGGATTCTGATTCAAAACTAAGCAGTTCCTCTTCTTTGACAGGATAAATCACAGGAGACACAGTACTGTTAACCAGACATTTACTTTCTGAGGGAGGGGGAATATCTATCACAACTTCTGTAGGTCCAATGGGACCGGCAACTAACGAAGATTCAGACCACAACATAGGAAGTCCATTAACTAGTCCTTTATCCTTTAATGCAGAGATCCTCCAAATCTCTCACAGTCCGTAGGCTTTCTCAAAGGGTTGCTCCTCACCACGCAGATTGTTCCACAGCACGGGTGTCAAGCCTAGTCTCCCTTGCACAGTGTCTGTGTTGCCGGAATAGAGTCTGATTGCACCACATTCCTCCAGGGACCCTTCCCCCTCAGATATACATATACGATTCTATAGGATCTATTTCTCCCAATTGTATTTCTAGACTTGGACCTCCTCGCCCCCGTGCATAGCCACCTCCTCTTTTTCTCTTCCCTTCCTCTCTCTGAGGAACAATAAAAACATACAGTTCTTCCTCCTCCTCTGGTCCCACACTCTCTTTTGCTTCTCTCTCCAGACTAATCCATTCCTCTAAACCCCAGCTTCTCTCCCTTTTTGTCTCCTCCTCTCCTGTCATCAAGAAGCCTTCTGTCACCTCCTCTCTCTTTCCCGCTTTTTTGCTCTCCCCTGCTCTTCAGTCACCTCTCCCCCTACGGTTAGGTTCTCCATCCTAGTAGGCAAGGTGGACAAAAGGGTGCTGACTCCTTCTGCCCCAGATGATCGAGGGGACGGCTCACTTCCATGCTTGACCATGACATTAGCCTCCTCTTCACATGGATGTAGACAGTGACGAGTTGGACTTTTATTGAAAACAGGAACAATAGAGAGAAAAGGAGCAAAACATTTTATGAACTACTCATGGGACACCCCCACACACCCCCACACAAATAAGAATGTGCGCAAATAATTGTCTTTATTTCATGACTGGAAGCTAGCAGAATTAATGTACTAGAAGTTCTGAATGACTTCAAAAAGCAAATAAACAAATTTGTTATTTTGAGCAGCTAGTTTTAGGGTCACTAATGAACAGAAGAAATGCAGAGTTCTGTGCGTGCTCTTGTTATCCTCCTGCAAGGACACAATAATTAAAACTAAACTCAGTTTAGATTGGCTTGTTAGATTTTGCAAAAAAGATTTAAAATACCACTGAGAGAGAAGTGTAAAAAGAGAAAGCAGTTTTTCTTTTCCATATCTGCATATGAGGAAAGCAGGGAGGAAGTCGATCTTTTGTAATAGTGTCTGGCAGTTCACAGGTCAAGATGAGCCAAACAGGAAAATCTCAAGATGGCTGTCTTAATGTGAAATAGTCACAGACATTTCTGGGAGAGGCAGAAAGTTTCTCCATTCCCCTGGGTTCTGACGCAGCATTGGATAATAAAGAGATTTGCAGTGGGGTGTATTGTTTTGCAGCTGTCACTCTGCAGGGAGGAATCGACCAAATCTGTCACATGCAGCATATTTTGAAATTTAAACAGCCTACTCTCTTTTTACAGATGATTCATACTATCAAGACTCTGATAGAAAATTCAGATAATGTATATGAAAAAATAGTCCAATGCCAAAAAGCAGGTAAGGATTACTGTTGTCTTAAATATGAAAATAAATGTGAACAAGTTTTACAGCAATCCCTACTGTGTTCATAAATGCTAGTAAACACAACAAAAACATTTTGCTTGAAGATTGTGTGTAGCCTTCCAAAATTCTATAGATATATTACTTTCTGGTTTTGTGTTAAAGATTTCAAAGTACAGTGGTGCCTTGCACAGCGAGGTTAATCCGTCCCGGATTAACCGTCGCTGTGTGAAACATCGCTGAGCGGTAAAAAAAAACCCATTGGAACGCATTAAACATGGTTTAATGCGTTCCAATTGGGCCGAATACTCACCGTTCAGCGATGCTTCCCTATGGCCGGCAGCCATTTTCACACCCTCCCCTCGCTGAACGAGGGCGCGAAAATGGCTGCGATCAGCTGTCCGGCAGGTCCAAAATGGCCGCCGGAACAGCCGAAATGGCCGGCCGCAGCGTTTTCGCGCCCTTGGTAAGTGAGGGGAGGGTGCGAAAACTCTGCACGCAGCCATTTCAGCTGTTCGGGCAGCGTTTTCGCGCCCTCCCCTCGCTTAACAAGGGCATGAAAACGCTGCACGCGGCCATTTTGGGGTTGCGCGCGGCCATTTTGGACCCGCCGACCAGCTGATTGGCGGGCATCGCTCTGCGATCGCATTAGCGATCGCAAAAGCGTCACCGTAGAGCGAATTCATCACTCTACGGGGCGCTCGTTCTGCGAGGCACCACTGTATTACATGAGTTTTGCAACTCATGCAATTTTCAGTAATTTTCGGTAATAATTTTCATAATTACTGAAAGTCCCTATAATGGCTATCTGTTTACTATGTCATTTCAATCATTCATTTTCTTTTACAATGGGTATAAACTTCATTTTTGGCTAAATAAAGTGTTTAGAAGATAAGTGACTTGTGAAAGGTCACAAAATAGTTTAACTAGGATGAGAATCAAGGTTTCTTCAGTCTGCCTGTTCCAAAAATGGAAAAGTGTTAACTGAGATGATAATTAAATGAACACCTTCATCCTGACAATGAGCAGTTTAATAGTGGCTTAAATCGTACAGTATATAGAATACCCAGTGTGGTGTAGTGGATAGTTACAGACTAGGACTCAGGAGGCTTGGGTGTGAATTCCTGCTCCGCCATAAAAACTCACTGGGAGTGTGGAACTGATAAAACCACTCCTTAAACAATTACCTTGAAAACCCAGTTAGAGTCACTATAAGTTGGTTGCTATTTGACAGCATACAACAGCAACAAATCATATACATCATATTAATAATACATCATATATAGCATCTCACTAAATTATTTACCTCTTCTGTTTGATTATGCAGTAGAGAAATTGGGCTGAAAACAACAGAATGAAATTTGACAGGGATAAGTCCAAAGTTCTACATTTAGGAAAACACACGCCAAATGCACAGTTATAAGTTGGCTTAATACTATGAGTTAGAAGGATCTTGGAATTTTTGTGGATTGCAAGATGAATATGATCCAACAGTGTGATATCACTGCAAAAAAAGAGGCAAATGCTATTTTTGTTTGCATTAATAGGAGTATAGTCTCCAAAATCCTGTGAGGTACTAGTCCCCCTCTATTCAGTACTGGTTGGGCCTTTTCTAGAATACTGTGTCCAGTTTTGGACACTGCACTTTAAGAAGGATGGCAAAAAACTGGAGCAAGTTCAGATGAGGGCAACAAGAATGATCAGGGAATTGGAAATCAAGCCGTCTGAGGAACAATTGAAAGAACTGGGCATGTTTAGCCTTGAGAAAAGAAGATTGAAGGAATATATGATGGCACTTTTCAAATACTTAATGGTAGCCATACAGAGGAAGGGCAGGCTCTGTTTTTGGTCATTCCAGAGTGCAGGGCTCATGCTAATGGCTTCAGGCTACAGGATATTCAGACTGAATATCAGGAAACACTTCTTAACTGTTAGAGCAGTATGACAATGGAACCAATTACCTTGAGATCTGGTGAGTGCTCCAGTGCTAGAGGCATTCAAGAGAAAATTGGGCAACCTTTTATCAGATCTGCTTCGATTTAGATTCCTGCACTGAGCAGGGGATTGGAATCAATAGTTTTATAGGCCCTTTCCAACTGAACTATTCTATATATGGATATAAAATAAAATACACAGATGTGAAATATTTGAATTAATCTTGGTTGTGCAATGTTGACAAAATTCTGTACGGAAGTGGCCAAGCAAAACACTGGATGAATTATTTCTGATACACTATCATGAACTTGAAGGCATCCATCTAATCTCAGAAATTCATGAGAATCAGACATTAGCTGCAATAAAGCATTCCAGTGTGAGAAAAATAGCTTTTGATGTTGCATTTAGGATCAGTATTCTTCAGTGTATGTGGGGATAGGGTAGCACATGTAGATATAAATGCATAATCTTAATATGTGAGTGAAAGCATTAAAAAAATCTCTATACTTGGAAGGGATGCTGGACCACAAATTATAATCTTGTGATTTATCAGACTAAATTCTTGCAAGCTTCCAATAGCTACCAATTTAATACTTATTAATTTGTTGAGAAAGAAAATCAGTTAACTCGACATACTCTGTTAATTAAGCTAATTGTTGGCTTATGTAACAGATTCTTTGCCTAATTGAAGTTCTCTGTTAAAGTTTAAACAAGGAGTACAAGAGTTTGTCTTAAAATTGTTCTCATTCAAATGTTATAATGTATGTTAACACTGCTTCAAAATGTAGGTGAAGTATAATATGACTGTGCCACATCCCACACAAAAGCTTTGCCTTCACGTGGTTAAGCAGTATGCCAAATGAAGGTTGATGTCCCTTTCAAAGGACCTATTTAATCTTTGGCAATTTTTTGAGCAATAAATGATCTAATTTAAACTTCCTGTGAATTCTACAAGGAGCATTAAGTATAGTTTACAGACTTTGTTTTTTATTGGTTCTTTTGTTTACAGCTATTTTTCTGGATTGAATTTTGTTGCTAAGATACCATTTTTTAATGTCCTGATTTTTTATAAAGTGAAAATCTCCATTGCAAACTTTTACAACAACAAATACTGTTTAAAGGGTATTTGTGGGGTTCTTTTGAAGAGCAGGATAATGGAAGAAACTCATTGTATTTCTCTGACTCAAGATTCATAGAGCCACAGCTATACCTTGTGATTGTGAAAAGCATACATAGGAGCTTGTTTGATTCACAACTGAAGACCTTGTCTGATAATACAGTTTTCTGTATGAAAGCCATTTTAAACTAAGTCTTTTATTGTAGCAGATATTTTAAGCAGCAAACAGTGTAGCTGTCTAGCCACTTTTCATGACAGTTGCAGTCTGCCACCACAAATACTTGATGGTCTATTATTATCTAGTTGACCAAACTCCAGCAGGCAGTGGAAGACAAGAGGGCCTGGCGTGCTTTGGTCCATGTGATCACGAAGAGTGGGACATGGCTTAACGACTAAACAACAACAATATTATGAACTTAAAACATGTACAATGTGAAGTGATAACAATGTAGTAATTGGGTGCATGGAAGTGATGCAGCAAAGCAATTGTAATTTTAGACACAATGAAAAATATTTTGTATTTTCACCAAGCCATATTAGTGAGCACTTTTTATTATGATTTCAGGTCTCTTCCCACTTCCCCCAATAATAAGCAATTATTATTTGTCCATCACAGGGAATCCAAGCATATTTTCTCAACATAAGAAACCCTGACAGACCTTTTGCCGGTTATATCAATACTCAGTATATATTTTGAGAAACTTTGTTTTGCTTTGTACCTGAAGCAACAAAAATATTATCTGTAATGTCTACTATTAAACTGGTGGGTTTTTTAATGTCTTAAAATTATATCCACAGGCCTTTTACCAAATAAAACCATATATAGAAAGCTGTTATTCAGTTTCTATGCATCATAAATGTCTCACTCTTCCAAACCTGTCAGTTACTTTTTCATTTATGCTGTTTTATTAACAGGTGTAACAGTTATTAACAGAGCAAGTGTAAGCTTATTTGCTCATATATCAATCTCACTAAGTTCATTTAATTTAATTACTAATTTAAGTGTGCTTAGAACTGTAGTCAGATACAGTACATATTGGAATATAAAGATATTAGTACTTTCTCCTCCCAGACATTAACCTTCCTTTTACTACTTATTTGTTTGTTGCCATCTTGTTTACCAGAATTCCTAATTTCCAATTTAACAGAATGATTTAGGCTGCAATCCTGTTGTTAGCTCACTAACTTTAAGTACTAGTGAGCTAAGTGGAAATTACTTCTGAATAGTCATGTATAATTTTGCAATGCAGGAAAAGCAACCACAAGAAAGTAATAAGCCATATTTGTCATATTTTGGGAAGATATAACAGAATAAATATTGGCACACATTTATATATATTTAGGTTATTTTGGATGTTTTTTTTTCCAGAACAGCTTTCAATAATAAAACACAATAAAACACATACTAAAACAACACATATCAGGACAGACTGAACATTCCACCTAAAAAAATCATAACATGAAAGAATCTTAGAGGCCTAGGTAAGAAAGAAATTTTCACCTGGTACTGAAAAACAAAGATAATGCCAGAAAAGCCTGAGGAAGGCTTCCACAAACTGGGTGCCACAGTTGGAAAGGCATTTGTAAAAAGCAATCATAGGCAGTTTGAGTCCAAGGATTATTATTTTTTTTTTGGCAGCTATTATGCACACAAATACAGTGTCTTTTTATTCTCCTAGTGATGAACATACCCAGTTTTAAATCAAAGTGATTATTTTGCTATAGCAAATCTCAGACAATTTATATAAAATGTTCTTAATATTTTGCTGGTGGAGGCTTTATCTATGGGACATCCCTTCAATTTCTTTGCCTTCCCTAGGTGGTACATTCCATCTTCTAGTGTAAGCTTTAAGATTAGAGATGTTCATGACATTACTTTGCATAATTTGTATGTACAGTATAAGCAAAATTATGTATTTTGATAAATGTTTTAGGCTAAAATTCTGTAAACCCAAGTGAACAAGGTCAGTAGTCAGAGCTTAGGAGCTATTTCAAGGGCACCAATTTACCTTGCCACTGTTATATGGAACATAGTGCTTTTGCTATCAGTTTGTGAATTTCACATTGTTGTGGTGGTGAGAAGCAAATCCTAGACCCTTTCCCCCATCATGTCTCCAGTTTATATATATGTATATATGAATATATTGTGTATATTCTTTTTTCCTGCTTGGAAATTTGTCAGATTTAATCACAGAAGCAGGAGATTTATTATTTCTATTAACAGTTCTTGTAGATAAAATCATGGTGGGCCAAAGGCAGGATATGATGCTTTCAGAAGTGGAGAAAGGTGGGAAAATCATTCTGAAAACATCTGTAATGGTCTTTGGTTGTAGTCAAGGAACTGCACCAGTTCACATCACATTGTTTGCATTAATAAAGTACTTTATTAATACCCATGGTCATTTTTTAAAGTCCATGGGCAATACTGGATGTATTGTGTAACAGTACAAGTTGTGTCGACTGGAATCAAGAACCTACCGTGTTTTTCGCACCATAAGACGCACTTTTCCCCCACAAAACAGGGGGGTGAAAAGTCTTATGGAGCGAAGAAAACAGATGATATTTTCCTGTTTTCTTCTCTTAAAAATTGGTGCATCTTATGGAAAGGTGCGTCTTATGGAGCGAAAAATACGGTAGCCTCGGTCCAGGAATAATTTTATTTCTTCACTTACTCTTTCTAACTGTTGAAAGGGTCTCCTGGAATGCAGTAGAGGCAAGCTTTTGCTTTGTTTCTGTCTCTGGGGCAAGAACTGGCTTGAGATTTCTGGTTGTAAAATCAAGAACAAGTGAATGTTGTGAATATTTGTAAAGAAGGTACTGTCTCTACTTCTGCTCTTTTAAAGTCATCTTTTGACTTTTCTTGTCAGGAAACTAATAATATGACATGTAAGCCTATTTACTCATTATTCCAGTATCATCAATAAGTGTTTTGAGAAGTGGCTAGTGCAGACTGCTTCTTCATTGCTTTGCTCACATGAGCAATGATAAATTAGAAGTAGAGAGTTCCTGTGCATGTGTGGGCTCTCCATGCAAGCAGGAAGCTGTTGCTGCTCACATGAAAAAAGCTACAAGGAAGGAGTAGGATACCCACTTTCCTCTGAGTTGATGATGCTAGGAAAAATAATGCTTGCAATTAGACAGAATCTTCTAGCAAGAAAACTAAAGAGTAACATGTTTTTCTCTCCCCCTAGCCATGGAATTCCATGAACACTTACAAAGCATAGGAGCCAAGGAAGGTTTAAAGGAGAGAAAACTGCAAAAAGCTGTGGAGAGTTTCACTTGGAATATTACAATTCTAAAGGTAATGATTCTTAACCTTGTGTTCTTTTTTCTGATCAGGAAAGATAATTTTTAAATCCATGGCCAATAGGATGGTGCACAGCATACTTGCTTACATGCATCTTTTGACTTTTAAAAAATAGTTCCTCTAGGTCAGTGGTTCCCAACCTTTTTTGAGTCATGGACCTCTTTTATAATAGCCAAGCAACCTGTAATCCTCTGCCACATTTGAATAAAAAGACATTTTTAATGGAGTAAGTTCATCCTTTCTCAGGAAGTAGAGGTTTCCTTTCCCCCCAGAGAACCTGTCTCATGCATACACATATGTGCTATCTTTAATATCCTCCTCTGAAAAGTCAAGGAAGAAATTATTTAACAAGGGCGGTAACACATTTAAGGCAGCCCATGACCCTCCCCCTGAAAATACTTTGCATCATGAACCTCAGTTTGGGAAACAGTGTTCTAGACCATTGCATGGATTTGAACAGAGGAGAACTGACGAAGCCAGACAGTCTACTGATTATGCTTGCCTTTTCTACCTTTTTTTCACTAAAATCAAATTTAAATAAATATTTTGTGAGTGTTCTGTTTCATATTTTCTTTTTTAAAAACATGCACTGCTAGCAGGATTCCTCACTGTCTGAGTATAAACTAGGAATGATGATCTCCAGTTTTTCCATGCTGCGACAAATAATCCAAAAAGACTCCATTTAGCTATTACAAAGCTCTTTACAGCTTTGAAAAGAAGTAGCTGTGTGAAGATTAATGCAGTTAGGAAGAGAAAAATAAGCACTTCTCTTTCAAGATTCATCAATAGTACTTAATTATGTACAAAATATGTACACAGAAGATAGAAATATTAATGCAATTTCTTTTTTGTAACTGAATATGCTTTCTTAACACTCTTTTGTACTTAAATACAGAACATTTTAGCTTTGCATTTTGCTTGAATATAGAATCATGCAATAAACAAGGGAATATTTCTTTAATATGGAAGTGTATACAGAAAACTTTTTGCTTTCCCTTTTGCCTGAACATGAAATAATGTAATTTTAAAAACATTATTTCTTTAATATAGACGTATACAATTAAAATGCAAAACAGTTTCTATTTGTCATCTACAATGTTTTTCATTTAATAAAGACAGTTGTCAAAAGTTAGTGCAGCTGCCTCTATTTCACCACCTAATTCAGTCCCAGTTTTTCTTTTTTTCAAGCAGATAAAGATTCTGTTTGCTTGCCAAGTAATTTTTCTCTACACTAAACTATATAATTTATTTTAATGATATAAAATTGCATATCATTCTCTTTCTCTCTCCCACACACTTTTGAAAGCTTCTTTCAGTTTTTCAGAAATTCATTTCGCCTCGTCTCAGTGTCATCCTTCCTACTCAGAGGCTTGCTGCTGAACTTATTGTGAAAATAGATTAAACATATAATTGAATCCTCATCTTAACTCTCTCCTACACATCACATCAGAACAGACAGTGTTTTGGTTGTTGTGGGTTTTTCGGGCTCTTTGGCCATGTTCTGAAGGTTGTTCTAACGTTTTGCCAGTCTCTGTGGCCGCCATCTTCAGGGGGCAGGAGTCAGAACTGAGTTCAGAACTCAGAACTCAGTTCTGTCGGCCACAAAGACTGGTGAAACATTAGGAAGAACAACGTTCAGAACACGGCCAAAGAGCCCGAAAAACCCACAACAACCATCAGATCCTGGCCGCGAAAGCCTTCGAGAATACATCAGACAGTACTTTCTTGCTTTCATAGATGCTATGCTGACATGCAACATGAAGCCACATTTCTGAAGAATCCTGTTTTATTGTGAGTTATGTGATAGTGTACTGTACGTCAGCCCTTTCACATCCGCTTGCCTCCTGCCATTAGCACAACTGAATAATCAATCAAGAGTCTAAAGGTTCTTGGCTAACAAAAGGAGTCAACTAACCACAGACAGACTTCATGAATCAGCATATTACTTGTTCATAGTATGCCGTGATGGTCCAGAAACCTAGTTTTGTGTTATATGCTAACACATGCATAGCATATGATTATTGGGGATAGATTGTGCTCTGTGTCCTTGGCAAAGTGAAATATACTGTTATTGTAATCTAGAAGTATTAACTGAAATTCTGTTGCATCGCTCTGCCTGTGCATGGGGATAATCTCATCAGTAGATTGCCACTGATTAAAGGCTACCTTTTGTGATGGAAGCCTAGTGTATAGGCAGCAATATGGTTATGCATATGGAGTTTGATATGTCTTGCTGGATTTCTTTTTCCTGATCTGTGTCTTCAGTGCATCTATCATAGCTAAATTCAGTTTCATACCGAGACTGCCAGCTCAGAAGCAAGGTGCAGATCTTTAACTTAATTATTTGATAGGGAAAATAGCATACAAAAATTGCATATTAGTATTTGTGTTTGGATTTATACATCAGTGAAAACATTTTTGAAAAATGTGTGCATTGTCATGCAGACTGTTAAAGAATAGTGTCATCCATTCCTAATAGTTGGAGCTTGATGTATCAATTAGAGCTTGCTGTACCAGTTACAGAAATGTCCCAGCTTCAGACACAAAGATTTGCTCTCTGTCAAAAGCTTCAATTAATTTCAGCTGACTTTCAGTTAATTGCAGTTGACTTTGCAGACTGCGCCTAACATACTTCTCATTTGGTTTATTTTAGCCAATGCAAAAGTCAACTTTGACTAGCTTAGGTCTAAACAAACCAAAATCAAACAAAACAAATTAAATAGAGTCAAAATAAACTACAAATTTGAGGCTTGTAGAAAGCTTTGTGATGACACATATACGGTTCAACTAGAATGTTTTATATAACATCCTTTCTTCAGTTTTTAGGACAAAAATTAGAAAACACAAGTTTTTTTGGGGGGGGGACAAAAATAATGTTATTAAAGTCGAAAACCAACATAAATGGTCAAATACAAGTTTCCAGAGTATCACTATTTTAATCTTCCCAGTTATGTGACTCAGACAAAAGTAATTTAATCCTCTTGAATCTGTAAAAATACTATTTAAATATGATATAAATGTAAGTAAATAGCAGTTTCCAATTATAGATGAGAGCTGCCGTGTATTTTCAGACCAAATGATACTGTCCAAGCTCTTTCTTCAAGATAGTGACATAGTCCTCAAGGAAGTGCTCATCTGGAATTCTGCCATGCTTATGGTCTTCAGGTTAGCAGATTGTGGCACCTTGGAGGTTAATTGGCCTAAAAGCAGTTTTCCTTCTCTTGTAATTTAATGTCATACTATCACTAGTTGAAATGAGCTGCTAATGAAAGGACCCTACTGCTTTTATGATGAGGTGATCAGAGCTTGGCAGAGCTGGTTTTTTGAAGTGAAGATTGTTGGTTAGGGAGTTCAGGGACCTGTACTTCAAAACACTGTTGTTTTCAGGATCAAGTTCTGGGAGTGAATTTTTACCAGATAATTTCCCCCAAATTTTGTGTATTCTAATTTTCTTAAAATACCAAGGAAAATACTACTCTTGACCCATAAATGATTCATCCTTAAGCTGAGATTTTTTTTCCAATGGGTGCTTAGACTCTAATACATAGACAGAGTTCTCCTGCCAAATGCTACAATGTTGTATAAAGCAACTGTGAGAATAAGCGAACATCCTAATTGCTGGATACTTAGAAATCTCCAGTTATAGGTTCAGAGTTTGCATTTCTATGCTGCAGTGACCAAAAAAGCCTAATATTTGAGCATCATAAGGGCAGAATCACAAGCAATAATAAATTCCTTATGTTTTCTCTGGGTTCCTGGATCCCATCCAAAACGTGAAACTGTAACAAAAGTCCTTTGCCAAGAGATGTTTGGTGGGAAAGACTCTAGTATTTTTTTTAAAGAGCACTTGGATACTGAGCCACTGAACACCATGCATGTGCCTTTGGTCAAACTAATCTGGTTTTCATTTACATGAAGAAGGATTGTTGTACACTAGACCAAGTGGGGAGTGCTCTATTTATTAATAGTTGTGAATGCTTTTGTTCCTAACAGGGCCAGGCAGATCTTCTTAAATATGCTAAAAATGAGGCACTGGAGAATCTAAAGCAAATCCACTATGCCACTGTTTCCTGTGGACTAAATAAGCCAGGATCTGAAAATGCTGAGCCTTCGAAGCCACGTCGAAGCCTGGAAGCTATACCTGAAAAGATGCCTGAAGAAAATGGAGAATGAAAGAAAACTCTTCACTATTTTGGAGTTTATAACTCTGCAACCATTGTAGCTGCACAGGACATTTTGCTTTGCACTTACTAGTTTGGAGGAAATCCTGGAATTTTAAAAGCACAACTGGAGAAGCTAATTACAATCCATGAAAACTGTGAATGTATGTAGCAATTCTGTGTATGAAGGCAGTAGGATTGTCCTAACATGGACGTAGTATCGCTGGCTAACACACGCTATATGTGTAAATAATGTCATCATTCAAAAACAGTGTGCAGAAAATATCATTACCATTCAACAAAGAATCAAATGAGTTTTCCTTACTGGAAATACAATATAATGGCAAGGGAAGGAGCTTTTGTCATTGCTTCAAGAGAAGTGCCTTGATTTTGGAGGAAATCTAGGTGTGCAGTGCAATTTCTTTGATTTAAAAGCAGCACAGTTCTATAGTAGTTCACAGTAAAGAGGCCTGTTGTTGCACACCACATATATAAAAACAAACAAACCCAGGGTTGGAAGTGTAGGTAAAAGAAAACACAAAACGTTGTGGTCCAGATACTTGGCAGTGTTCAGGTCTAAAATTACTACCGTCATTTTGGGTTTTCTGTTCTGTTGTTGAGCCATAAATAAAAAGGGGAATGTAAATACAAAGTGCTCAGTTGTGGCACAGTGCACTATGGGAGAGCCATGGCACAAGAAGGAATATGTGCAATCAGTCTGCCATAAAATGCCTAAGGTGCAAACCTGTTTCCACTGAAGAACATCTGCAGATGTCTACAGCTAATGTAAAAGTGACCAAACTGCAAAGAAAACATTGTAAATAATTTTATCATTTTATGGATGTGAACAAGTATTCACATTAAAATGTTTTATGATATGATTCCCATTTTATTGGCCTCATGTGAACTCTAACTTTTTTTTTGCTTGTTTCAGGTTTAAATACCGTATTTTTCGCACGATAGGACGCACTTTTTCCCCACAAAACAGGGGGATGGAAAGTCTGTCTTATGGAGCAAAGAAACAGATTATTTTTTCCTGTTTTCTTCTCCTAAAAATTTGGTGCATCTTATGGAGCGAAAAATACGGTACCTTTTTAAAATTAAAGTCCATCAGTATTTCCATTACATGGTTTTAAATCTGGATTATTTCTGTTTTAAGTATTCATATTTGGTGTCAGCTAACACAGTGGTTCTTAACCTTTGTTACTCAGATACTTTTGAACTGCAACTCCCAGAAACCCCAGTCAGCACAGCTGGTGGTGAAGGCTTCTGGGAGTTGCAGTCCAAAACTCCTGAGTAACTCAAGGTTAAGAACCAGTGAGCTAACATACAACCCAAGATCTGCTGCCTAATCTTTCTGCTATAAACAATAAAATGGGTAAACATGACAAGGTGCAATAAACCTAAAGCAAAAGAAGTGAGTTTTCAGGAATTTAAATTGTGTTTTTCCCCCAATAATCTCATTTCTTCTGAGAGACTGTACAACCAATGGAATGTCTCTTTTGTTGTTGTTGTTAATCATTAAGTCGTGTCTGACTCTTCATGATCCCATGGACCAGAGCATGCCAGGCCCTCCTGTCTTCAACTGCCTCCCGGAGTTCGGTCAAATTCATGTTGGTAGCTTCGATGATACTGTCCGACCATCTCATCTTCTGTCGTCCCCTTCTCCTTTTGCCTTCACACTTTCCCAACATCAGGGTCTTTTCCAGGGAGTCTTCTCATGAGATGGCCAAAGTATTGGAGCCTCAGCTTCAGGATCTGTCCTTCCAGTGAGCACTCAGGGTGGATTTCCTTTAAAACTGATAGGCTTGCTCTCTTTGCAGTCCAGGGGACTCTCAAGAGTCTCTTCGAGCACCACAATTCAAAAGCATCAATCCTTTGGAGGTCAGTCTTCTTTATGGTCCAGCTCTGACTTCCATACATCGCTACTGGAAAAACCATAGCTTTGACTATGCGGACCTTTGTCGGCAAGGTGATGTCTCTGCATTTTAACATGCTGTCTAGGTTTGTCATCGCTTTCCTCCCAATAAGCAGGCATCTTATAATTTCGTGGCTGCTGTCACCATCTGCAGTGATCATGGAGCCTAAGGAAGTAAAATCTGTCACTGCCACCATATCTTCTATTTGCCAAGAGGTGATGGGACCAGTGGCCATGATCTTAGTTTTTTTGATGTTGAGCACTCTCTGACCTTTGTCGGCAAGGTGATGTCTCTGCTTTTTAACATGCTGTCTAGGTTTGTCATCGCTTTCCTCCCAATAAGCAGGCATCTTATAATTTCGTGGCTGCTGTCACCATCTGCAGTGATCATGGAGCCTAAGGAAGTAAAATCTGTCACTGCCACCATATCTTCTATTTGCCAAGAGGTGATGGGACCAGTGGCCATGATCTTAGTTTTTTTGATGTTGAGCACTCTCTTCTTTCACCCTTATTACGAGGTTCTTTAATTCCTTCTCACTTTCTGCTATCAGAGTGGTATCATCTGCATATTGGAGGTTGTTGATATTTCTTCCGGCTATCTTAATTCTGGCTTGGGATTCCTCCAGTCCAGTCTTTCGCATGATGTATTCTGCATATAAGTTAAATAAGCAGGGAGACAATATACAACCTTGTTGTACTCCTTTCCCAGTTTTGAACCAATCAGTTGTTCCATATCCAGTTCTAACTGTTGCTTCCTGTCCCACATATAGGTTTCTCAGGAGATAGATAAGGTGGTCAGGCAGTCCCATTTCTTTAAGAACTTGCCATAGTTTGCTGTGGTCCACACAGTCAAAGGCTTTTACATAGTCAATGAAGCAGAAGGTAGATGTTTTTCTGGAACTCTCTGGCTTTCTCCATAATCCAGCACATGTTAGCAATTTGGTCCCTAGCTCCTCTGTCCCTTTGAAATCCAGCTTGTACTTCTGGAAGTTCCAGGTCCACATACTGCTGAAGCCTACCTTGTAGGATTTTGAGCATAACCTTGCTAATGTGTGAAATGAGTGCAATTGTACAGTAGTTGGAGCATTTTTTTGGCAGTGCCCTTCTTTGGGATTCAGATGTAGACCAATCTTTTCCAGTCCTCTGGCCACTGCTGAGTTTTCCAAACTTGCTTGCATATTGAATGTAGCACCTTAACAGCTTCATCTTTCAAGATTTTAAATAGTTCCAACTGGAATGCCATCACCTCCACTGGCCTTGTTGTTTGCCATGCTTTCTAAGGCCCACTTGACTGCACTCTCCAGGATGTCTGGCTCAAGATCAGGAACCACACTATCTGGGTTGTCCGGGACATCCAGATCTTTCTGGTATAATTCCTCTGTGTATTCTTGCCACCTCTTCTTGATGTCTTCTGCTACTGTTAGGTCCCTACCATTTTTGTCCTTTTTTTTGTTGCTGCCTCCTGTACAATGTTATGGGCCTCCATCCATAGTTCTTCAGGCACTCTGTCCACCAAATCTACTTCCTTAAATCTGTTCTTCAGTTCCACTGTGTATTCATAAGGGATTTGGTTTAGATTATACCTGAGCAGCCCAGTGGTTTTTCCTACTTTGTTCAGTTTAAACTTGAGTTTTGCTAGAAGAAGCTGATGATCAGAGCCGCCATCAGCTCCAGGTCTTATTTTTACTGACTGTATAGAGCTTCTCCATTTCTGGCTGAAAAGAATATAATCAATCTGATTTCAGTACTGCCCATCTGGTGATATCCATGTGTAGAGTTGCCTCTTGTGTTGTTGGAAAAGAGTGTTTGTGATGACCAGCTTGTTCTCTTGACAAAACTTTATTAGCCTTTGCCCTGCTTTGTTCTGAACTCCAAACTTACCTGTTGTTCCTTTTATCTCTTGACTCCCTACTTTAGCATTCCAATCCCCTATAATGACAAGAACATCTTTCTTTGGTGTCAGTTCTAGAAGGTGTTGTAAGTCTTCATAGAATTGGTCAGTTTCAGCCTCTTCTGCATCAGTGGTTGGTGCATAAACGTGGCTTACTGTGATGTTGAAAGGTCTGCCTTGGATTCTTATTGAAATCATTCTATCATTTTTGAGATTGTATCCCGTTACAACTTTTCCCACTCTTTTGCTGACTATGAGGGCTATTCCATTTCTTCTACAGGATGCTTGCCCACAGTAGTAGATACGATAATTGTCTGAATTGAAATCACCCATTCCTGTCCATTTTAGTTCACTGACATCCAGGATGTCAATGTTGATTCTTGTCATCTCCTGTTTGACCACCTCCAGCTTCCACAGGTTCATAGATCTTACATTCCAGATTCCTATGTAGTATTTTTCTTTGCAGCATCAGTCTTTCCTTTCACTTCCAGGCACGTCTGGAGCTGAGCGTCCTTTCGGCTTTGGCCCAATCACCTCATTAGCTCTGGAGCTACTTGTACTTGTCTTCCGCTCTTCCTCACTAGCATGTTATACGCCTTCTGACCTGAGGGGCTCATCGTCCAGCATCATATCTTTTAACCTTTTGTTTCTCTCCATGGAGTCTTCTTGGCAAAGATACTGGAGTGTCTTGCCAGTTCCTGCTCCAGGTGGATGGCGTTTAGTCAGAACTCTCCACTATGACCTGTCTGTCTTGGGTGTCCCTGCACAGCATAGCCCATAGCTTCTCTGAATTACTCAAGCCCCTTCGCCACGACAAGGCAGCAATCCATGAAGGAGAGAATATCTCTTAGGTGGGCTTAAAAATTGGATCCATAATGTTTCTAATATTTGTATTATTCCCTTCCAGCAAAACTTTTTCAGTCAAACTACCATCCTGTCCCTGCAGTAAAGGCACATTCTTGAAATGTCTTACTCAAAGGTGAATGAGTTCAGGTATACATATTGCTGTGTTGTAGTATGTGACTTAAATTATTGAAATGTAGGACTGCCATCTAAATTAAGGATCAGGCTGGTAATATAATGGAACTTGTAAAGTGAAAGCTGTCTCAAAAGTACAAAGCATTATACTGATTTTGCACCTTTAAAATTTATCATCCATAAAGCCATCAAGAACTCTTCCTCTTGAAGGAAAAAAAAGTACACTGCTTCAACCCCAGGAATCTAGTAAAGAACAAACTAAAAGTTCAAGTACAATCCTTGTGATGTCCAGTCACTGACATTCGTTTTAACACAGCAGCCTCCATCTGAAGCAAGCACTGTGCTGCTGCTGAAAACAAACAGGCTCCTGCGTTGCAGAGGGGAAATGTCTTCCTAACATTGGAGCTTCCGAAATCGAGGCCACTTGATGCCATTCTCTAGAATACCTTATAAGTGCTTAAACACTGTGTTCTAGAGTAAAGTTTTGTCTGCATGGGGACTGTGTGTGGGAGCCTGTAGGAGAAGGAAAGAATTAGGCAAAATTTTCTAATGCAAAAGCAAAACTCACAGGTTTAGTGATAATTCAGGATTGAATCATTAAGGGTGCAGAACCACAAGGAGCAAATGTATGCTTACACAAATATATCTTCAGTTTTTGAAGAAGTAATATGTGTAAGCATATCAGACAAAAAAGACAAAAATGTTTTGTTTCCTTACTTTTTCAAGATCCTTTCATTGATCCAACCAAGCTCGTTCTTTGCTTTTCAACCTGTCTACTGGTATTAATGATAATCTTGTTTGTAATCTTGCAGTTTAAGGCTATTTTTCAAAGTCTGTATTTGTAACAACTGAAGCATTTGTCCAGAAATAGCAGGGTGGTTCTATATTACAGAAAGGCCATGACAGCTGGTCAGACATTCCTCACCATGTTAATATCCAATGCCGGGAACTGGAACTGCACTCACTGTCCCCGCCCACACACTGTAATCAATGGCTGTGTGAACTTAGACACCCCTTTCAGATGCTCTACTGAATTACAATTATTAATGAAATTTTAAACACACACACACACACACACACACACAGAGAGAGAGAGAGAGAGAGAGAGAGAGAGAACCAATAGGTTAGCCAGCCCAATTAAAAACAAGCAAGCTACATCTGGAA